GGTAAAAGACCTCTCGAAGGCCGATCTCTAAGATCCAGTGCGCCCGACGGAAGGTTAAACTAGAAGTGTTCCGAAATACGCAAGACAGTAGAGTTTGAAGAAATTTTCAAGCGCCCATAAGCGCCGATAACAACGAACAGCCTACTAGTCTTCTACATCTCCCATACAATCCACATCTAACAAGTTAACTTTCTCAGAAAACAGCACTGTGTCTACGCACGATTAACCTGTTCGAGCACCCAAATAGAACCCTGCAAATAAATCCTCACGCATCTTCGCTCACGCTGTTCAAAGGGCTAAAGAAACAAGGGTGTACAGGTGGTGCTACAACAACCGTTCGTCAGAGAAGATTCGCTTTGAAATCGCAAAGAGAAGAAATAAGAGATATTGATACGTCGACACGTCGCGTCGGTACTTCTAGTTACCGAAGGCGCGGTTACGTTCTTCTCCCTCTCTTCTACATTCGTCGATGAAAGACGACGAGGCGCCATAACAAAGGAACGCTTGATCAAAGAGCAAAAGTAATGAAAAGACACGCGGCAAAAGGTGGAAATAAAAAGGGCAGTAACGTTTCTTCCCCCCTTTTCCTTCTTTCCCTCTATTGGCGTTCTCTCGTTTTGCTTCCACCGAGTCTCGTTTAGAGTGCTTTCGATCTTCATTACGGAGACTCTCCTGCCTAGTCGATACATAGGAGAAAGAGGGAAAACAGCAGAGGCGGCGGGAGACTATCTTCAAAGATTGTACATGCTTCGAGTAATTGTATTACATTGAAAGATCCGTGTAAATTAACGTACCACTCACTCGTCGAATTATCCGTCGATATTGAACTCGTCTCGTAGCTTCTTTCTTTCGACGATCAGAAGCTTGTCTCGAAATCGGGCGATGTCAGTTCTTTCTTTGCCTTTCCTTCGCATATCGATCGAACAGGGGAAATGTGTACAACCCCTGGCGAAAAGTTTTCGACCAACAGCAATGGTTTGAAGCTAACTAGAAACAACCGAATCTTTTCTATGTATCATAGGGGAGACTGGGGCTAGAAGTTACGGTGGTAAGTTGTTACAATGGTTATGACTTCGAAACGGAAAGAGACAGGATTGTGCTTTCGGATTGTGAAGTCAACGGTCACTCTCAAGTGTCGTTCGCACCCTTGAGTGACGCGCGCGGAAAGTCTGGGCAGCGCTTCGTCGCTAACAAAAACACACCAAAGTGGAGACCAAAAACCGGAGAAGTTAAAATATAAGAAACAGATGTGGACGAGAGCCACGAGACGAAAAGCATCGAACTTCTAAATGAACGTTAAAGTGCTCGATGGCCTCCCAAATTTACAACTGCTGCGGAGGACCGAATAATTTCGGCTGTAAATCTAATAGGACGACTAAACAACCTATGTAGCAGTTGATGCGACGTTAAACTATTATGTAGGAATAGAATGTTAAAAAGTATCTATCCGTTAATCACGGAGATGACGAGGCGGGTAAAACGGGACAGTAACACACACACGTCGTATCGTATCGTCGTCACTGCTATTCTGTCCGCGCGTCCTTTTAACGGCGCGTCGCCCAAATGTTCCCGACGTTTCCTTTAAATTCTGTGTGTTTGTCAACGTTTTTGCCTGCCCGGCCGCGGTACATCAAAACATTCTCGCGATTCACGCTCACGCACACACACTCACACTCGCTCGCACGTGCCTCGCGAGTGTTCGATCGACCGTATTCGCGACTTTTTTTATTACGCCTGCTTCCTACAATTATTTAAAAAAAAAAGAAACTACATTGTTTCTCGGTCATTTTTAACGTTTTGTCAAAATTGTAACTTTCAGCCCCCAGTCTCCCTTACTATGGTATAAGTATGAAACTCATGGGAACGTTAAATTGGTCTGATACGAAGTAAATGCTACAAAAATAATCAAGATTCTCGTTTATTATCCGGTAGAAAATAGCGAAGAGAGGAAATGTTAAAATGAACGATAATTTACGGAATATTCATGTTGCCTAATATTTTGCGACGTTTCCATTTGCACGTATAACCGCTTTCATGCGTGTTGGCACAGATTTTAGGAGATTTTCGCATTCTACCGCTGAAATTTGATTGCTTCGCGAAGCTCATTTGCCTTTTTCCTCTGCATTAATTTTGCCCGTAAATTTTCTACGGGACTTAGGTCTGAAATATCGACTGGCCATTTTATGCTTCCAATTCCTTTGGTCGCCAAATAATCGTGCAATTTGGCCTCCAAATAATCTTGAAAGTGAAAATCATTCGAGTCCTCGTACCAGTGTTCTATACTTGGTATTAGAAAATGTTCGAAGACACGAGTACACGGTAGGAAGACCCCTTAACACGATGCGCAGCTCTTTTCTCAGCCGTGGAAAAAAGGATCCGCGGTTCGCGATTAAAGAACCTCTAACTCTCTAGCGACACGGTGACGACTTAGGCCAGCAATTAGACGCAAGAAAGTCCGAGCGATGTACGACGCGAGTTGCAAATTGCAGTTGCTGAACATTCACGCTTTGTCGCTTGTCGCGGTTTCAATTCGAATCGCCCCGCTGGGAGTTCTCCCGAATAATCGAACTTCCAGCGATATTTTCCCCGTGAAAAATCGTCGGAATTCCGACGAAGCGCGTTCGATTTGTAATTTCAACGAGTCAGAAATTCCCTTAAAAATTTTTCTTATTCCTATTGGACGGAAGAAGCTTCTTGAATCCTCTGTTCAGAGATTCTGTAAAATCTCGACGAAGTCGTGATATCTCCATTTGGAGAATTTTAATAGCCAGAGTAGTATCCACAAAAACTTGGTCGGCAACTTACACTGATATCACGGAACTCCTTAGTGGCTGTATAAAGAAAATTCAGCTGCCTCTTACCGCAACTTTACGAGCTTAGTGACAGGGTCTGTATAGCGAGCAGGAGACAGTGGCCACTTTCAGGCGTTGAATTATCGTCTTAGTTCGCGCGCCCCGGTTCGTTGAACAGAGATTCAGAAAGGTCTCGCTGTTACTTCAAGAACTAGAATCGTAGTTTCTACGATTCGAGGAAGAAAAAACATCGAAACGAAACAATTGTAGTGTGGAATATTTGAATCGGTGTAATCGAAACACGACTAGGCTCGTAGTAGACACTCTCTCACCTCTGATATAATCGTGGAGTCCCATCGGTCAATCGATTAATTAACACGGATTAACGCAGTTTCTAATCATCGCTTAGATTGGATATCCTGTACGGTAAACGTATGATACAGTGGATAATGACCGGGGTAAATAGAGTCTGTTGTCTCTGGATTATCGTTGCTAATTGCAGTTTGCGCAAAGCCGGTGCTTCGAACAGTCGAAACAGACGTTCTCTCGGTAGCGCGGATCGAGGGGCGACAATGGATCGAGCCCTCCCCGATTGCAAATATTGACCGCAACAAATATAGTCCGAAGCGACGATCAAAAGGTCAGCCAGGCTTAATTTATCGTGACAGATCCTGCAAGGCTGCTGATGTTGCCACGTTTTTCCAATGCTGCTGCCTCGATTGTTCCGCGGTTCGTTGTAGAGCTCAAGGACGTATAGTCGGTGGAAGAGATGTGGAGAGTTCGTGACATCGGCCGGGAGTCAAAGTAATCGGGTTTTTCGAGCGATCCGAGGAATTGAGAGATTTATGGGAAGATAAATATCTGAAGAAATATCTCAGTTAGGGCCGTGGAATGTATAGTCGGTGGAAGGAATATGGGGAATCAACGTAATTACGTTTCGAGTTTTCTAATAATGGAATGGAGAGAAATAAGAGAAGTCAAGGATTTGAACTCTCAGTTAGGGCCGTATAATGTATAGTCGGTGGAAGGAATATCGGGAATCAGGGTAATTATGTTTCGAGTTTTATAACAGTGGAATTGACGGAAATATGAGATGTCAAGGATTTGAACCCTCAGTTAGGGTCACATAATGTATAGTCAGCAGAAGAAATATAGCGAGCTAGCAAAATCTGTCGAGAAGATAGGAATCTGAACCTTTGGTCAGGGTCCTGTAATGTACAGTCGGTGGAAGAAATATAGCGAGCACGTGAAATCGGTCAGGAGTCAAAGTAAACATTTTTCGAGTGTTTTGCCAATGAAATCGAGAGAAATCTGAATCCTCAGTCAGGGTTGTACTATGTATTCACCGCGCCTGCTCTGTCATCCTTCCATTTCTTTTGATAGTCTTTGTTTTTAGCTGTATTCTGCTTCAATTTTTATTACTTTATCCATTCCTTTCTTACAATGATTATCGTTCCTCCTGTTCGACTTCATTTCTCTATCAATTCCACGTTCTCAAAATTCAATTAGCCAATTGATCTACATTGGTCACACAGCTTAACGACACGCCAGACACTGAAAGAAACTTCAAATATTAATATTCGTCCCATAGTACACGAAACAGTGTTAGTTATCAGTTGCCATCCCTTCATTGCAGCAACCCTAAAACAGAACACCGTATGCACTCGACGCTTCAACGCACGACCTCGCTACATTTATTCCACCGACTATACCACTCTCCGAAGTGATCTCCAGGGGACGGAGAATGGTCGGAGTAAGAGAAATTGCCGCGAATTTTGCGAACAATACGCTTTGGCGAATAGTATTTCGCGGGGTTAAATTGGAGGTTTGAATTTTCGGGATTGAATCGAGACTAATATTGGTAATAGTGTCGATAATTGAGATACATCGGTTTCGATCGATTTCCCGCCAAATTTGAGAATGTTCTATTCCGATAATTCGGATATATGGACCGTCTATTTTGAAAGTGGTGTAAGTCAATTTAAAAAAAAAATGAGATATCACATAATTTCTGATTAATTTAGTGTAAACTTTTCATTTATAAAAAAAGAAATGGACTTGCACCACTTTCAGAATAAACGATCCGCATATATCGTACGGATTAGTCGATATTGTCTTATCACGGGTGTGAAATAAATGCCTCGTATCGTAAGAACGTTATTTATAGCGAACTTTTAAATAACCATTTATCTTCCATTCTGATTGCAGAGTTGTTAATTAAGAATGCGCGATGACACGGCGAATTTGTCAGTGGACAGCAAACCCGCGCGAGAAGGCGCAGGGTATGGAAATGGAACCCCCAAAAACAAACTCTCACCGCCAAGAAAAAATATTCTTGAAGTGTAAGTAAACCAACGACAATTTTCCAATCTATAGACAAAAGTTAACCATTTTAAATTCTTCCTGTCTTTCAATTTTATTACCGACCCTCGTTAATATCGTTACGATACATAATTTTCCCTCGATCGTTGTCGGAACGAGTCCTCCCTTGAAACTCCCAAGTAGCGAAACTTCGCCGCGTGGAAAATTAATTTACACGAGCGTGGGTCGCTTTATCGACAACTGAACTTTCCGAAGAACTTCCTTTCTCTGCAAAAGGCCGGCCGGAAACTGTGTGGAGGGGGGAGATTGGTGGGAGAGTATCTGGCGAGCTTATCCGTCGCTGATCGATGGTTATAATGTTCATGATCGATGAGATGAGAAATTGCGATTTCCTCTTTCTCCTCTTTCCTTTTATTTTTTTTCAAGCTCGACCGCTCGCGTTTCGTTGTCCGGACGCTCGATCACCCCTCCTCCCTCCCCACCGTTTGTGATCAACCAGAGCCGGGCCAATAATCATCGAGATTTCGCGGATCGACGCGAAAAGTGTCGTCCCTTCGTGCGTGATAACGACGACGCGAGCTTGTTCCGTGCTGGATTATTAAATCGTGTTTTCTTCTTTCTTTTACCTTTCCTCACATCACACACGCGCTCGTCGGAAAATAATTCGCGAGAAATTTTTCGAACCCCTGCGCTTGGGTTTTTTCTTTTCTTTTTTCCCCCCCCGGACGGATCGTTATCGTTCTTTCGCGGAGAGTTTCAGGTGGGTGGAATTTCGCGCGTTTGTTCCACGAGCGGAGGAATATCGACGGCGGGAATGGGGCGGGAGAAAGTTGGGGAGATTGATCGGTTCGAGTGGCGACAGATGACGGAAACTACTGACACGTACGGAGGCGCATACAAATTTTTCTCCGGCGGATAGTTGCCGCGAAGCTTTTCGTGCACGCGCGATAATTCAAGGAAACTCGGCGAAATAATCGTTCATCTTGAAGGATGGATCGGAACGGAACGTGATTAATACCGGGCTACTTGTATCCTCATAATTCATCCGTGCGTGAAGAGAGAGAGAGAGAGAGAAGAAATTTTTCGTAACAATCGACGTTCAGGTTTCTTCGAAGTTACACGCTAATTGGAGGATGATTTCGAGAACTGTGCGGTGGACGTGTTTCGTCGAAATCGATGCGTAACACTTGTTACCATCCTCCAACTTTTTTCACCCCTGTATTCCGAACGTGATGGCGTCGCATCTTCTGAAGGTTACGTGCCGCAGCTACGGGGTGCTCTATTTATAACGAACGTTTCAATTATTTCCATTGCTATTGAAAGTAAGAAGAACATGATCGAACGGTGTTTATATGGCAGTGATAAATAAATTTCACTAAAGGTCGTTTCAAGGTCGTGGACATTCTTTTGCATATCAACATAATATAACGAGTTGACATTAATGAAAACAGTTGGACGATCTCGGAGGAACTTTTGTTATCATCACTAGATGCACACCCTCAGATTCTCTTAGTCGTTATTCTTTTACTGAAAAGTCATTTGTTTTCGTATTTCCATGATGTGGGTGTTCGTTATAAATAGGACACCCTGTGCACAGAAGACTTTCCATCGAAATCCTATTACTGCTCTCATTCTGAAGATCATTCCAAGGTTATGGACATTTTTTTGCATATTAACATCTGCTTTTCATTTGAGTTCAACGAGTTATGACATTACGACCTTAACCCTCTATGGGCCGAATTTTTTTCTCGACTATAAAAAAATGTATGTAACGTAAAATTAAGAAATATCGTCCTATAAATACAGAATAACAATGAATTCAGCAGTTTCAACAATTTTATTATAACGAATACATACTGTGACTTTGAAGTAACAACGGTTATCAAGAAAATTACTGGTTAACAAGGGGACATTGTGCAACAAGGCGTTTACGCCATCTTGTGGAAAAAGTTCGATTATTTAATAAAATATCGATATATTAGTATGTGACTTGAAAGTTACACGGGCCCATAGAGGGTTAAAGTGACTGTAAACAATAGAAAAATTGGACGATCTTGGAGGAACTTTTGTCATCATCATAAGATGCACACCCTTAAATCTTCTTAGTCGTTATTTTTTTTTACTGAAAAGTCATTTTTTTTCTTATTTCCGTAATGCGGATGTTCACCCTGTGCACAGAAGACGTTCCATCGAAATCCTGTTACGGACATTTTTTATCATGGACATTTTTTTGCACATTAACATGTGTTTTTCGCCAGAGTTCAACTAGCTACAACATTACGACCTTAAAGTAACTGGAGAGAATAAAAAAAAATTGGATAGACCTCGAAATAGAGGAACTTTTCTTTCCATCACCTGAAATCCCCCTAATCACTTCTTCTCATTTTCACAATTCACGTGTTCGTTATAAACGAAACACCCTACATACAAATTCTCACCCAATTCCTGTCTTCAATTTCTCTTCTAAAGGTCATCGACCTCTCTCCTCAAACCCAAAGCACCCCACCCGCACACCTTCTAAAATATAATTAAATTATCCCCTTAACTAAGGTGGACTTAAAGAGAAAACTTGGACGCCTAATGCTAAAGTCGAGCTCCGTACACCGGGGGGTAAATTCGTCGATGCACGCCACTGTACTCAGCCTCCCTCCTTCCTCCCTTTATCGGTATAAAATGCCGATCGTAGATTCGTCGCAGGAGTTTCGAACAGCAATTACGCCGCTAATGGAGGCCCCACGGGAACCTCGAGACTTGGTCCGGCGCTTCTACCGGCGACGGAGGAAACTTCCGTTTTTCCTTTCACGCGCCGACGACCATCCCTGTAACACCGCTCGCGTGCCCCCCCCGTTGATCCGCGGAACCAACGATTTACGCAGTGTCCCCGACTCGATTTATATCCCCGTGCGTCGCAGCGTGTCAACCCGACGCTCGTTTATTACCCGGTGAAATAATGGGAATCGATTCCGCGGGAATAGTTCGGTTAAATCTTTCTCGAGAACCGTATCTTGACTCCCGGAGAAACATCCAGACGCGCGCTTCTCGAAGAAACCTTCCAGGATTATTATCGTCGTACGATGTGTCGTTACGTTTCTCACAGAGGATAAAGATGGCAATTCTTCCACGGAGTACGTTTCCTCTCAGATCGTTTGTCACGGCGTTTTAATCGAACGGAAGAAGCTGTTCGTGTTTCTTCGTCTCGAAATTCTCTCTCTTTCGCGTTTCTTCGTCTCGAAATTCTCTCTCTTTCGCGTCTCTTCGCCTCGAAATTCTCTCTCTCTCGCCTTTCTTCGCCTCGAAATTCTCTCTCCCGCCTTTCTTCGCCTCGAAATTCTCTCTCTTTCGCGTCCCTTCGTCTCGAAATTACTCTCTCTCGCCTTTCTTCGCCTCGAAATTCTCTCTTTCGCGTCCCTTCGTCTCGAAATTCTCTCTTTCGCGTTCCTTCGCCTCCAAATTCTCTCTCTTTCTCGTCTCTTCGCCTCGAAATTCTCTCTCTCTCGCCTTTCTTCGCCTCGAAATTCTCTCTCTTTCGCGTCCCTTCGTCTCGAAATTACTCTCTCTCGCCTTTCTTCGCCTCGAAATTCTCTCTTTCGCGTCCCTTCGTCTCGAAATTCTCTCTTTCGCGTTCCTTCGCCTCCAAATTCTCTCTCTTTCTCGTCTCTTCGCCTCGAAATTCTCTCTCTTTCGCGTTCCTTCACCTCGAAATTCTCTCTCTTTCTCCATTCTTCGTTGAGTCGAAATTCTCTCTCTCTCGCGTCCCTTCGTCTCGAAATTCTCTCTCTCGCGTCCCTTCGTCTCGAAATTCTCTCTTTCGCGTTCCTTCGCCTCCAAATTCTCTCTCTCTCGCGTCTCTTCGTCTCGAAATTACTCTCTCTTTCGCGTTCCTTCACCTCGAAATTCTCTCTCTTTCTCCATTCTTCGTTGGTAGAGCTCGGTTTTGCAGTTCTTCCCTCTCTCTCTTGGAACACACCAGGAGAAGTTTACTCGGAGGAAATGATTTTTGCTCGTGAAGGAACGCGCAATGTTGGAGAATTCTTTTTTTCTTCATTTTCTTTCGTCGACACTTGGGATGTTTTGTACGCGTTCGCGAACGAGGAAGCGCGTGTCTTTCGTTATCGGTGTTTGTCTCTGCGTGCGTTGAATTGAGTAAACGACCGGCGAACGTCATCGGCATCGGGGATTTAATTACGCGACAGACGTGTCACCTTTGTACCATTTGATTAATAATCCAGCTGGTAAGCGATGATCTAGAACGAATTAATGAAAACACGTATTTTCGATGTTTTGCGAAGTTATCTCGTAAGTTCGTAATGAGAGTGAGGAATTGCGTTGACGGTAACCGTACCACGACTGGTCGTTTTTATCGTTATCTGAAGGCTGTTTTATTAAATCGACGATTACCTGTTTCTTTGGGAAGATGTGAGATTTATTTCGTAACCTGTCATTTAACCGGCTAAGATAAAAGTAGTTGGGATATAAAGTGGCGGTACGGTTAGTGTTAACGAAAATCCAAAAAAATTCTACAACGATGACAATAATCTTACCAAAAAAAGAAAAGAAAAGAGACAAATTGTAGAACGAGAAGGCGCTTTCGTTTTTTTAAAGTCACATTTAAAGATTCCTTGGAAATATCGATCTAAATTATAAAACTCGTCACGAACTTACGGGATGACCTAATACGAACACGATTTAAATCGACGACGATCGCGCCTGTTGACTTTCCGTTTGTTTTCCACTGACGACACCGTCGACGCGACATCCCGCCACTTCCGGTTTTCCAAATGGGGAGGAATGTTTCTTTTTCCTGTACGATTTTCTAAGGGTATCCCCGCCGATGATGAATATGAAAATATTATTGTAGGATGTTCTGTGTACGGTACCATTGTATATTTCATTTCAGACACGCTCAAAGACGCGGAGAAGAATAAAGAGGAAACAGAGTATATGCTACAAGAGAATGGCAAACCAATGTACGAATAAAAACATTCTTACAGATGAATGACAGTTGTTCTTAAATATAGGAGAAATAGGAAAAAAGTAAATGCGTAAAAAAAAAAAAATGTAGAAGGAGCACAAATGTGAAATGTGTATGGGAATAATTAGGAGAAAAATTCTGCTCGTCCTAGGGGACTGGAAGAATCGTATAAATTTATCCATAACAGTTTTTCAAATTGTTTCAACTTTTGTTTAAAATTGTAGCAAGTACATATATATATATATATCTCCTTTTAAGAATACTTCCGGATTGAAAAGCTTCGTTTAATTCATTTTTTTTTCTTTTTAAGTTTTTCTACTCTTCCGCGGTGTGTTTTTGTCGACGTTTGAATTAGAAAAAAATACAGTCGATTCGTATAACGAGGGTGATTCCTCGATCAGAATTGCTTCGCCGCGCTTCTCTCTCATCCAGAAGTACTCTTCTATGCATAGTCTATCATTTTTTCCGTGTTGCTCTATGTACATATAGAACGGAAGAATATGAAACACGCGACAGGACCAATGAAACAGTCGCAACGATGAGAGAGTTTTAATTAAAGAGCAACATTGTTTTGTGTCCACAGTGAATTCGTGCCACCGCAAACGAAGGAGGACGACAAACCGGTCGCGCCGGAACCAACTTTGCCACCAGTGCCTTACTACAAACTCGTAAGTCTGTTGTTTTTTTGACTCTTTCGTTGCTATTGACGTCTATAGGCGTTTTGGAAATTTGATTGTACTATACTGTTGGAGCCTTTTGGTGCACTTTCACTATTAATTTAATAGTTAATTTTATTCTTTATGTATTTTCACTTATTTATTACGTATCTGTGTGGCTCTAGCTCAAGCACCCTGCGTTCACGCAACTATCGCTCCGGACTAAACACTCGCACAGATATTCTATCATCTGTACGATATCCTTGGACCTTCACTCTCTCTCTCTCTCTCTCTCACTCACGTACTAACTCATTCACTCACGCACTTATTCACTCACGCACTGAACCCCTCACGCACTCAATCACGCACTCATTCAGTCACGCACTCATTCAGTCACGCACTCAATCACTCACGCATTCAGTCACTCACGCACTCAATCACTCACGCACTCATTCACTCACGCACTGAATCACTCACGCACTTATTCACTCACGCACTGAATCACTCACGCACTCAATCACTCACGCATTCATTCACTCACGAATTTAGTCACTCACGCACTCAGTCACTCACGCACTCATTCACTCACGCATTCAATCACTCACGCATTCATTCACTCACGCACTCAATCACTCACGCATTCATTCACTCACGAATTTAGTCACTCACGAATTCAGTCACTCACGCACTCAATCACTCACGCATTCAATCACTCACGCATTCATTCACTCACGCACTTAATCATTCAGGCATTCAATGACTCACGCACTCATTCACTCACGCACTCATTCACCCACGCACTCAATCACTCACGCATTCAATCACTCACGCATTCATTTACTCACGCACTTAATCATTCAGGCATTCAATGACTCACGCACTCAATCATTCACGCACTCAATCACTCACGCACTCAATCACTCACGCACTCAATCACTCACGCACTCAATCACTCACGTACTCAATCCTCACGCATTCATTCACTCACGCACTTAATCATTCAGGCATTCAATGACTCACGCACTCAATCATTCACGCATTCAATCACTCACGCACTCAATCACTCACGCACTCAATCATTCACGCACTCAATCATTCACGCATTCAATCACTCACGCACTCAATCACTCACGCACTCAATCACTCACGTACTCAATTACTCACGTACTCAATTATTCACGCATTCAATCACTCAGGTACTCAATCACTCAAGTATCCAATCACTCACGCACTCAATAACTCACGCACTCATTAACTCACTTACTCACTCACTCCCTCGCTCTATGATTCTGTTTCTCTCACTGCTTTCAAATATTCCTAGACAGCATTTAACCACGTCCACCTGAATCCTTGGTTCGCCACTCACTCTTCGTTCACACCGTAATCTCAAGCACTCCGTGTCCCAAACACTCTTCACTCGTACCTCTATTACTCCGACTCAAACATCCCTCGATCATACTTCAAACTCCAACACACTCCGACTTGTTGCAAACATTCGCAAGAAACTTCAATCCCCCTCCCCCTCGGAAACAAACAAAATACAAGAGAAAACGTAAAATAAAATTGAACGATCGAAACCGATCGCATCGTAAGTGTTTCCGACTACGGAACCAGGTAGAAAAATTGTCCGGTACACATACGTTAAACATTTTGCAACAGTGAAATATCACCACGGTAGTTTCGATTCAAACGATGAAATCCATCTTCGAGAGTCGGTTGTAGTACAACAGCAGGCAGCCATCGACTCCCTTTGTCTTTGACAAACTTAACGAGCGCGGTTCTGTCGATCGATCGTTGCGCCCTGTTTTTGTTTAGAACTAGTCAGATCTACGTCCATTAATCACCGTTAGGCCGGCATTAATTTTACCCCGGGGTTAAATCTCTCGGAAAGGCACAAGTTGCCTCTACTAAATCACCCCGAGAATATGTTTCTGAAATTTTCGACTAGTTCCGCGACAAATTGCTCCGACGTAGCCGCGGAATTTCACGGAATTCCCTACCCCTACACCCATCATTCGGATAATTAACATAACGTCGATGCAACCTTCATTCGCCGCTGTCTATATACTCGTGCAATTAATTAAAATCATCCTTCTCTCTCTCTATTATATACACACATTAACTAGCCTCTCGTTTCCTCGCGATACAGAGACGGTGGAGAAAGTTTGAATTTCAGTTTAATCGTTAGAAGGAAAGTTCACGCCTGCTAAAATTGTTGAACCGCTTTCCGGTTTCTGTTCGCAGTTTCGATTTGCAACATGCGGGGAGCTGATGCTGATCTTTGGTGGCCTGATCATGGGAACTCTGACAGGCCTCTGCATCCCCGTCTCGACTATACAATACGGTGAATTCACCACGTTACTCGTGGATCGTAACATGGAGAATCAGCCCAGTACACCGACACTCATAATGAAGTGGTTCGGAGGAGGAAAGGTCTTGTAAGTCTTCTTGGCGTAGAATAGACGTGTCTATTCTCTCTCTGCCCGAATATTCATATTTTTAGCAACTCGGGAGAGAAACTCGAACGCTCGCGTTTATCGTTCCCACATCGTCTGACGCGGTGTATTAACGAGAATATACGAGAGTCGTTCGATATCTAGAGAGATAAAGAGATGTAGTTCGGGAAATATATGTGGACGTTCTTATCGGTGATTTGAAACAGCTGTTTGATAACTATTTTGGTATATTTCGACGAAATTAGAAGATCAGACGAGGAGAGCTATTAGGTATACAAATTAATTCGGTGCATTTTTTCACGAACCCTTCGTGACTTTATTTAGTGACAAATTGCCGGAATTTTTCTGAGACGGAATTCGTGAATTACTACTCGATAAATGGAGCAAGGTCGTGCAAAATAATGGAGAGCATTTTTAACGTTAAAATTGTGTTCGATCTTTTGTAAGGAAATATTAAAGTTTGTGAGAAAAGGCGCCGAATTAATTTCTACTTTTATTACTTATTTATTTATTTAAAGGGTACCGAACAAAAAGTATCTAAGTAAGAAGTACGATACTTTCAAAATCATAAGTTAGTATCCCTGTCTCATCGATTTAAAAAAAGCTAGTAGACCATTTTAGTATACATAAAAAAAAAAAAAATTTTCAATTTTAAAAATTAGGAAAAATTACAAATCTCGCTCCATCAGATTTCTTTTCTTTCGTTCCCCTTTCACGAAGCCAAATTTCTCAGCAACAAGGAAGCGAAAAGAGATGTCCACAACTGGCTCAGATTTCAAGACAAATAATTCTTTACTGTTCGTGTAAAAGAATTAGTAGATAAATCGAGAAATAGGTAAATTACGAGATTCACAATTACCAATTTCACTCACTGTGGAAATACACTTGCTCTCTCTCTCTCCGCGTTCGTTTCAGTTCAGCTCGAAACGAATCTTTCGCAATTTCACGAGTTCGTCATTTCCTCTCTTCGACGAGTGGAAATTATTTTTAATCGAAGAGAAGCGTTTAACTCGTTCCACGTGGAGGACAATATACGATAATTGGCAAATGTTGCAGGGGACCTAACGCCACGTACGAAGAAAGAATGGCCGCTCTCTACGACGACTCGGCAGCCTTTGGCATATCTTCAGCGGCGTTATCCACGCTCGTAGCCGCTTCCAGGCAGATCGCTAGAGTGCGCAAGATGTTCCTGCGTGCCGTGCTGAGGCAGGACATGACGTGGTACGACATCAACACGTCGACTAACTTCGCCAGTAGGATCACCGAGTAAGTATTACACTTTACGACAGTTTGCTCTCTTACTTCCGGCGTAGAACACTCGTGTGTTGTTAGAAATATTGTAACACAGGAGATACAGGAAGATGGGAAGATTTATTAAAAAATTTATAGACGTGTAAGGGATTTACCCACACAGTAAGTTCTTTTAAAATCTTTATTGAATAGGTGGTTCGCGAGGTTCACACTTGACTGCCGACTGACTGCTTTCCAGTCACCTCGCGAGTTTCTTCCTAATCATTTCCGTTTTTCTGATTGGTTACCCCCAGCGTATTGGTTGGAACCAATCAGGAATTTTGTCTTTAACCCGCCACTAGTCCTTTGTGCCCTTGGCGCGCTTTTTCCAGGACCGCGGCGAATTATGGTAGGGGCGTATTGTCCGCTGTAGCGCATTCGGCAACGCGGTGGATTTTCCTCCAGGTCCGGCACTTTCCCGCAGGGGGGTACCCAAGGGTACCTAGGGGCTTGGCGATCCCCCGATACCTGAGCTGATTTACCATTACCGAGTGGGGGGAGGTTCCTCAACTGGCAGTGGTGTTGGTGTCCACCTTGCACATCCCACCGATGATGTAGACGGTACCTCGGGTGGCCAGCTCGTATAGCCCACGCCCGGGGCTGTAGCGGGCATTCCGACCTCCCCGGACAGACCAGGGGACGGATGGGGCGCAAGTACAGTGGTACTGCCGGGGCCTGGCCGAATTGATGTCGGAATCGAAGGGGCAGTGGTTAGGCCGCATGCTGGTCAGGGGCCCTTTTTCCAGGCCCCGACGTGTGAGTTGCGAACAACTCCGGTACCAATCTGGAGAATTGGTAGAGTGTTGGAAAGTCGCTCCGCGCCACCCGTAGCGTGGGGATTCCTCCTCACAAGTGGCCCCGAACGGGTAGGCGGACGACCTGTACCCCTTGAGGGCCTAATCGGACGATCGCGTTGGTTGGGCGTATCTCAATTCCACGCCCCAGGGGGGCCGTGCGGGTAGGCCTCTCGGTAGTAGACCGCACGTTAAACTGCAAACTGATAGGTCCGGTACTTGAGACATGTGGCCTGGGCCTCTGGGCCCGTACGCGGACCTTTCGGCAACCCTTGGTCTATGACATGGCAAATTGCTATTGAGACCGTTGGTGAAAGTTTCTACGAAACCATGCATTGTTAGATTTACTAAACGTTAAACAGACTAAAACGGTTTCCTCAAAAATAGCTTTGCTAGCGCGCACGTCATAAACCGTGTTGGTCGTCCGCACGGCAAATGCTTGCTTCTGCACTACAGCTGGCCGCCACAGACGCCATACTTTTTGAATCGGTAAATAAGTTACAACTTCTCTTTAAGAAAAAATTAGAACGAAGACAAAGAATCTGTTTTGTTATCATTTAGCTACTACTTTTCAATACAGCGACTGAGTATATTTGTGGACACTTGTCGCAATGTGGAAGCAATTTTGCAATAACGTTCTCAAAAAAATTTCGTTTGATTTCCAGTGATTATATAACTATTTTAAGGCTTTTTCTTTCACTTCGTCATCCACGCTAAAATACTTCCCAGTCGCGTCTTTTTTTATTTGGCGAAACACGTGGAAATCACATACATAGTGAGATGTCTGGACTGTATGATGAACGTTTTTACTGTTCCCATTGAAATTTACGCAACAGCATCTGTCAGTCGCAGAATGTGATCGAGCATTGTCGCGGACGAGGACATTTCTACTGAGATCTCCGGGTTATTTCTTTCTTCATTATAAATATAATTTCCTTTTTTACGGCTGTTCATAGACGTGTAACTGTAAGCAAAGCGTTAATTGCCAAAGCAGCGTGCCCCGAGGCGAGGTCTCACGTAAGGGGATGAGACCTACTCGTCAGACATTATTCATACGACTTCGAAGTGAAATGGTGGTAGAAAATTTGTCCATACTGTAGGAACCGGGGAAAAATTTTGAGGGACCCAACGGGAATCGAACACCCACGACCTCTATTTCCCTTTGTCGGTTTCCCTTGTAGATACTACAATACTATTGATTATAAGTAGGTCCACGAGACGCATCTCGCCTCGCATAAGACTGCAGCATGCCTCGAGGCAAGCTCTCATCGTCTAGGACAGCGATGGCGAACCTGTGACACGCGTGTCAAAGGTGACACGCATCGACTTAAGTCACCTCACAGCCAAAACCGAGCAGATCACAAATAATCATCATACAAACAACGAAAAACAACGGTGTCTATCTTTTGTCAACGAGTGATCGTACTGTTATGCCGCAGCTTAACAGGGACTTCAAAAATCTCAGTATTCCGTTCACAAAAATAACTCGTTTATTCCGAAGATCAACTCTTAACGAAATCAATAAACTGAAGTCTCAACTTTTAAGGAAAACTGACGCGCGGCGTGAAGATGGCCCTCCACCCATAGTGTAAGGAGTGGTGGAAATTCGCGTTTATCCTAACAGTACAAGATCGTAACGCTCGCAACAATTATGGATATTTCTAGATGTGACACTGCACCCGAGTTAAGCTAGGTTTTTTCTCAATTTTGACACACCGAGCTCAAAAGGTTCGCCGTCACTGGTCTAGGACCTGCATTAATCATAGACAATCATTCCTTCTGAATCGAAAATAGCGGGAAAGTGTAACTTACTTATCGACTCACCCTCATAAATGAAATTGTTTTCGCCCGCGACGAGACTCGCGTTGTCGGACCGTGGTCTCCTGGAAGTCGTAAGTTTCCACGTGGTTTTTACCGCGCCGCGGATTAGGCGATTTCCTGACGAATTGTTCGATAGGCCAGGATGATACTCCTGCTGAGTATCTTCTGTTTGTTCAAAGTGGACTGTTCTGTTCGGTGTTCAGACTTAGACTCTCCTCTCCAGTTCTTTCCATAAGGAAGAAAGCTCTGAAGAGGTGGCCTTTTCGCCTATTGGCTGTTGGTGCTGGCCAATTATATTTTTCCCTAATTGTCATCGACCTATCCGTGTGTCCGCAGCACGCTCCCTGCGGACTAGGCGATGACAAGAGGGGGCGAAGCTCGGCAAAAGTTTAAACATTTGAAACCGTAACGGGAATTTCCACCAGGCCTGGGACTTTAGAAACTCACGTTTTATGACACGTACAATTAGCTGTTGAGGTCGTGAACGACGTTTAGACCGTTTAGAGAGTAAAGAGACATTCTCAAAAGCAGCTTTCTAACTTGTATGTCATGAAACGTATATACTAGCAATCTGCACGCCGGATGATTTCTTCCCTTGTCCAGATTGCTAGCCGCTAATGGAACAAATGCTTAACCCGGGTTTCTAAGAATATTCCGCGGGTGGTTCGCGGAACAGAAACTCACCCTCGTAGCTAGAAATTTTCTATAATTTCCTACACAAATCGAATCAGCCCAAAGGCGCTAAAAAGCCAAATAAAAAAGTTCCCCTTACACCCTCTCACACTCGAGTAACAAAATTACCAGAAATTTCACTCGAAGCTCGTACTCAGCTTCTCTAATCTGAAATTTAGCTAAGCGTCGAGTAACGTAGTAGCATTACTCGGCTCGAGAGGAAGACATTCGAGTATCAAACACGCTGCTCACCACGATATCCCCGAGACGTATATAGTACTTAAGTAGCCGTATTTTCTCACGGTGATCCGGCTTCAAGAGGAACATCCTTCCTTCGATCTCTCTCTCACCTCTCTCTCTCTCTAGAATCTGCGAATGTAAACGCCGCCACTGTACGAATGGCTTGCAGAAGAGAGAGAGAGAGAGAGGTGTGAGAGGCGTAAAGTTGAGGAAACGAGATCTGCTCATCAACAGGTGGCCGCTCGTGGAACTCGAAATCCTTGCTCCCCGATACAATGTCTCTGTTTGCGGTCGGTGGTCCAGGTCGCGTAATTATTCGAAAAGTCAAGGATAGTAGATTCATAACCGCCTAATACATACACACGCACACTCACAATCTCAGTCGTGGTAAATCGTCATCGTCGCTAACAGACTTGCGTTCGTTGCGCAATCAATTTATTTCGAGTAGTCGAGAATCTTTTTCGAGCAACAATGTTGTCGCGTGGTGCAATCTACGCGTAATTACGACATCAGAATTTCAAATGGAAAAAAGAATATCACCTACTCTGCACGAATTCTTCCCCGGTCGCCACTTTGTATTTCCGGGTTCAGAGACGTGCACGTTGCGTATCGCGGCGAGATCCCGAAGAGACTCGGCGTGACTCACGTCATCTTAGATTACCCACGGAGGACAATAAATGTGCTCGTAAATATAGCACCGCGATACAGGTATATCGGTCCACTTTAGAACATCGACTGGCATTAGAAGAGATCGCCTTGGCTCGTCTCGCGGCTCACATTTATAATGAGAATTGCGTAAATTTGATTTGCGCCATCGCGGTTTAAAGTTTTCTGAACCTGCCCTCCGATCGGAGAAATCGCGGCTCTGCACACGATCACCTGTACGATTTCATAAATCATCGTAAATCATCGTGTCGCACACGGGCACGTACACATTGGCGACACTTGCCAGTCACGTCGTTGCCATTCGTTTCACGCTATCTCGCGTGGCGAGATGTTGCTCCTCGAGTTACTGCCTCTCGTTAAACAACGCGTTCTTTGGAGGAGAAACTCGCGGAAGAGAATTGTAACAAACTTACAGCTGTCAGAGTTGAGGTAATATTGGGTTTGGGTTTAACACGATTACACGAGTGTGTTATTCTACTGCAAACGCCTGTGATCACCCGGAAGTGGCAGAGGAGTCGGGCGACATGAACGTGGCGCCAGAATATTTTTTTTTTTTTTTTCGAAGATTGTTCTGGGATGTAGATTAAAGGAAACGTGGAAGTAGAAACGTCACGAAGACAATGACTCTTCACCTTGACACTTGCTTTATCTACGCGATAAGAGGCGCCGTTTTCTGTGACAATAGGGAAGAGTCTATGCGAGTCTAACTGAAGTATATACACACGTTAGTTCAGTTCTAATTTTAGATCGTTTTTGTGATAAACTTGTAATTTCATTGTGTCAATTCTTTTGATATTTCAGACTGTTAGATTCTTCAGGAGGATTTTAGGAAGCACGTTGGGTGGATTGAAGGTGACCTTTGCACCGCGAGAGATGATAAGACAAACTTTAATTAATTCGCTGAATGGTTGCCCGCGGTCCGTGTTATTTTCGTCGGCAACAACTTTCGATAGGTAGCAAGGTATATATCGAGAAAACGGTGTCTAATTGCGCGGGTCACCTTGTAGAGTGTCTGAAAGCCCTGGCAAATGCGCCTACCCTCGAATTTACCTAGAAATTGTGGCATTTACTTGGACTTGTGATTCAGGTTCCCGAAGGTATACTTAAAATTGTTGCAGTTGTGGGTTCGTTGGTCCTCAAACCACACACCAATCGTAAGCGTACAATATTGTGTTGAACAAGATTTATTCGTCGTTACAGAGTTCGCTGGTTTAAATGTTTAGTTAAATCGAGTACAGGGTTTCCTCAGTTCGCTGTCCCGGACTACCTGTTTTGCCATTTTTCGGGCGTCCTTATATACGCCCTTTTCCTGTGCGCGGACCGTGGAGAGTGCCCTATCGGTACACGCTTCAGGTACCTAATTTACTAATTACGCTCGCACCATATTGGTGCGTGTTAATATTATTTGCTATTGGCGCGGGTCTAGATGTGACTTACTCTCTATTGGCGCGCACTAGTTACACGCTACACAGTCTTTGTATTTGTAAAGACAGTATGTGGTTTCCGAAGGTTGCTGTTGCGTCGCACGCAAATTCACGTGAGCTCGCCTCGGTCTGGCGGATTGTAGCCGTAAAAATCATTAATCACCCTTGGCCTAACCTCACTTGGGCCGATCAGACCCCCCTTGGTCTACCATGCGCCCCGCGGTAGGTTTTTCTGGTCGTGAAACGGTACCGCTTTCGGGGCTGACAATTTTGCATTAACACAGGCATCCCCTTCTCCGAAGAAACGCACTGCAGGCGCAAGGAGAGGGTTGTCGCCACCATTTAGGCACCTTGATTGCTGAATTTCCGCTTCACAAAAATGTATAAAGAGCGAGCTCATATTGTTCGCGTCCGCGGTAGGTTCTTCTGGTCATAAAACGGTACCGCTTTCGGGGCTGACAATTTTGCATTAACACAGGCATCCCCTTCTCCGAAGAAACGCGCTGCGGACGCAAGGAGAGGGTTGTCGCCACCATTTAGGCACCCTGATTGCTGAATTTCCGCTTCACAAAAATGTATAACGAGCGAGCTCACGCCGCAGCGAGCTCAGAACCGAACAAGGTCGAACGCTCGCAACAGTTGTTCATTGCTGTAATTGATATAATAACGGTGGAAATCTGTAATTTAGTTAATAGGCAGTTGATGTGTAATAATATATACGTGATCGTGAAGTTAATTATGCAAAAAGATTCTGTATTAAAAAGTCTTGTGGACTGGACTAACTTTTTCTTGCCTCGAATATTCAGGTTTGAAACGCTTTCCACTTACGCGCCGTAAGAAGAGTACATGCGCATCGTGTCGGTGAATTCCAACAATAATAATAGTTTGTTAAGAAAAGTGAAGAAATGAAATGAAAGTATATGTGTAGGTTAACTATGAACCACGCTGTTTCCACTCTGAATCTATTCCACCCTTTTCATTCTAGAACCACCCTTTCAATACCAGCGTCGACTACAGTCACCCATAAGGGAAATCTTACTCGTGGACGCGTACTCGGTAAGGAAAGGGTTAAGGAAAGTAAAGAAATGAAATAAAAAGTAAATGTCTAGGTTAACTATGAACCACGCTGTTTCCACTCTGAATCTCCCTCACAGAATCTCTCTTTCCACGCTTTTCGCTCTAAGTCTACTCTTCTCTGACCCCAGTCTGCCGTTTTCACCACGCACTTTTTCCATTCTCTCCCGAATATTCGGACTGCCATCACGCATACACATGTACCTTTGGGTTTTTCTCGTGACCCTTGATCCTTTCAATATCAACGCCGACTTCAGTCGGTATAAACATAACGAGCGGTGGATACCAGCGCAGACTGTAGTCACCCATAAGAGAAACCTTAAAATTCGACGTCGCACATTTCGCTCAAAATTCGTCTCTGCCGCCGGCGATTCTAAATCGCCCCTAGGTCGCACCGCCGGCATTTTTCGCTCAGTCTTTCAGAGCGCAATTACCATACATTTTTTTGAGAAAAACGCATTAAATACAAATTATTTATCTTACGTTTCTCATCCATGCAAAAACGAAATGAAGTCGTGTCAGCGTAATGTCGGTCTAAAACCGAAAACCCGCCCGCGTATACGTGACAGCGGACGTCAAAGTGTTAAAAAGAAAGGGTTGAAGTTACCTCTGCCCTCGCGAAGAAGATCCCTCGCCGTTCGTTTCTCGAAGAAACAAGAATATCCTCAACTCTTTCCTTTCTCCAGAACTCTTGTACGATATTTCCCCAAGAAACGAGTGAACGAAGGGGAGAAAACCGCTCGCCAATTCTCGCTCTAATACGAAAATCTGCCTTCGTGTTACAGGGACTTGGACAAGATGAAGGACGGTATAGGTGAGAAGCTCGGTGTGTTCACCTATCTAATGGTCTCCTTCATCTCCTCCATCATCATATCGTTCGTCTACGGTTGGAAATTAACATTGGTCGTGCTCAGCTGTGCGCCAATCATCGTGATAGCTACTGCAGTGGTCGCAAAAGTTCAGAGCTCTTTAACCGCTCAGGAGTTGTCCGCTTACGGTCAAGCTGGAAATGTCGCCGAGGAGGTGTTGGGCGCTATCAGGACGGTGATAGCGTTCAACGGTGAACAGAAAGAGGTGGACAGATACGCGCAGAAGTTGGTACCAGCCGAGAAGACTGGAATCAGACGTGGAATGTGGTCTGGCGTTGGCGGTGGTGTAATGTGGTTCATCATCTATATCAGCTACGCCGTTGCCTTTTGGTACGTCCACATATTCGACCGTCCGAAAATATTTGAACACTTTTTGGAAGGGGGCGGGAGGGAGGGAGAATGTGTCCCGCGGACTGAAGTAGATTCTCGAAAGTTAAGAGGGGTATTTCTAGAGCAAACGCTTTTGACGCGGGTAAACAGGGGCGAAAACGGGTCAGCTTGGGAAACTGGCGTATTGTGCCGGCCGGTGTTTCGAGTAAAAGTTGTTTGCTTTAAAAGGGAAACATCGCGGGGGAATGGAACGGTTCTTTGTTTGCTGTAGGAAGTGGTGACCTTGGACTCTGTAACTTGATAGGAAATCATTTTTAACCATTTTTTTTTCTTTTACTTTTGGAAATTGCTCGTAGTGTTTGCTGGTTTATCTTGGGAGAGGAGGGTGGTGTTCGGGGGAGAGAGAATTGAAGCATTTTTTGGGGATCGAGAGGGGTTGATGTAAAAATGGAAATTAGCGGAGTAGTTTTTGTTTGATGTTTCTTGCAAATTTTGGTGTATCTCGATGAATGGTTTGGTATATTTGTATTTTATATTAGATGATCCAAATCGATGACGATGTGTTGTTAGAGATACTTCATTTCGGGTCTAAATTCAAAAGTGACAACTTCAAACGGATTGAAGGAAATTTTTATCTTGAGAGATCATGCTTCGTGTCACATTTTCATCTAGAGAGTTAAAAGTAAACCATTGTGTGTACTTGAAATTAAATTTTCACTCCTGCCGATTTTCTCTTGTCAGGGATCCTTCATCCCTGAGTTAAATTCAAAAGCGATAACTTTAAAAGTATTGAATTAAATTTTTATCATCAAAGATCGCGCATCGTGTCATATTTTTAGTGTCAGAATTAGTAGTAAACCATTGTGTGCATTTTGGATTAAGTTTTCACCCTGAAAATCCCTCGAATTTGTTATTCTCATTTCAAGAATCAGAAGTAAATCATTACGTGCACTTCAGATTAAATTTTCACCCTGAAAATCCCTCGAATTTGTTATTCTCATTTCAAGAATCAGAAGTAAATCATTACGTGCACTTCAGATTAAATTTTCACCCTGAAAACTCCTCGAATTGTGTCGCATTCTCATCTTCAGAATCAGAAGTAAATCATTGCGTGCATATCGGATTCAATTTTTACCCTGAAAATCCCTCCAATTCGTCATTATCATCTCCAGAAGTCAGAATTGTCCTGAAAGATCGCGTGTCGCGTCACATTTTCATCCCGAAAAATCAGAAGTAAACTACTCTGTGCACTTCAGATTAAATTTTCACCCTGAAAACCCCTGAAATTATGTCGCATTCTCATTTCCAGAGTCAGAAGTAAATCATTACGTGCACTTCAGATTAAATTTTCACCCTGAAAATACCTCGAATTTGTCATTCTCGTTTCCAGAATCAGAAGTCAATCACTGTATGCATATCGATTTAAATTTTCATCCTGAAAACCCCTCAAATATTCTCATATTCTCATCTCCACCGCGAACAGTAGCAATACGAACGACGATCCTTGTCCAGGTACGGCGTCCAGTTGATTCTCGAGGACAGGCCAAAAGAGGTGAAGGAGTACACTCCCGCTGTACTCGTAATAGTATTCTTCGGTGTACTGGCCGGTGCACAAAACATGGGTCTGACATCGCCGCATCTCGAAGCGTTCGCTGTCGCGCGAGGATCAGCCGCGGCGATCTTCCAGGTGCTCGATCACGTGCCTACGATCGACAGTCTGAGCAAAGAGGGCCAAAAGCTTTCATCGGTCACCGGTGAGATCGAGTTCAAGAATGTGCACTTCCAGTATCCGGCTAGGAAGGACGTGAAGGTGTTGCAGGGCTTGAATCTGAAGATCAATCGTGGCGAAACCGTGGCCCTTGTCGGTGGATCTGGCTGCGGCAAGTCCACCTGTCTGCAGCTCATCCAACGTCTCTACGATCCTCATAAGGGACAGGTGAGTGAAACGAAGAAGCGCTTGCGTATCTTTTGCAGGTTGGGAATCGTTAAATTCGATAATAAAAACACACTTGGTTCGTGTAGGTGTTGACGATAGTTTCTAAATTGCCGAGTTCAGTTAGGAGCAATGTCTCTTTCTGTGTCTATAGAGATCGTTAGGATGAATTTTTATGTTCATTTTGTGAATCTAAGAGAGAGGGGTTTTTAAGGTTCTGAAATATAGAAGGTCTGAGTTTTAAATTTCAAGTCTCTCGTGTTCTTATTTCGAGTCTTTATTTTCTCGAGTCTCGTAAAACACTAATCGCGACTTTGGGCGAGCTTCTTACCGGTGTTATCACTTAGAAAGATTGTTCTTATACTCAAACGGCACGCAGGCGTCTTGTGAACGTTTCAAAAAAAGACGTTTAAACGACGTCCAGTGTTACAAATCAAGATATCTCTGAAACTAGCGCTGCGAAAGACTATTAAAAACGTCGAAAAGATATAATTTTTATGCGTTTCTAGAACGTACCGATTCGCACGTCATAGAGAAGTTCAGACTAAAAATGTCCGTAAAATGGACATCTCTAAAACGTCATGCGCTACCAGAGCAATCCTCTTGTATACAAATTTAAATAGCTAACTACAACCTTCAAACGTAACTACTTCTTATTTACGACCCAGAGAAATTTCGTTTAATATTTTAATCACATTTTAATTTTTACAATTGGTAGAGAATTGCCACTGCAGGGGCATTGAAGCGTGAAACGCTTTCTGTTAACGATGCTCCCGTATTCAGTTCCCCTTTGTTAATTCAGAAAACTGTTACGCTCCGCTGCCTTCGCTCTCCTGTTAGCGAAATAATAATAATAATAACGACATTAAACGCGGGTATTTACCTTTCGTTCTCGGCCATGTAACTTAGCTCCTCGAAACAGGTTTTACACCGAGAAATATTCCTCGCTCGCCCACCTACTCGTACATAGGTTCGCGTTTCAGATTTATTTGTTTACCGAGAGAAGAGAGAAAGACAGAGACACAGAGAGAGGGAGAGACAGAGAGGGAGGGAGAGACAGAGAGGGAGAGACGGAGAGTGAGGGAGAGACAGAGGGAGAGACGGAGAGTGAGGGAGAGACACAGGGAGAGACGGAGAGTGAGGGAGAGACACAGGGAGAGACGGAGAGTGAGGGAGAGACAGAGGGAGAGACAGAGAGTGAGGGAGAGACAGAGAAAGAGGGAGAGAGTGAGGGAGAGACAGAGAAAGAGAGAGAGTGAGGGAGAGACACAGGGAGAGACAGAGAGTGAGGGAGAGAGAGAAAGAGTGAGGGAGAGACACAGGGAGAGACGGAGAGTGAGGGAGAGACAGAGAAAGAGAGAGAGTGAGGGAGACACAGGGAGAGACAGAGAGTGAGGGAGAGAGAGAAAGAGTGAGGGAGAGACACAGGGAGAGACAAAGAGTGAGAGAGAGACAGAGAGGGAGAGACAGAGAGTGAGGGAGAGACAGAGAAAGAGGGAGAGAGTGAGGGAGAGACAGGGAGAGACAGAGAGTGAGGAAGAGACACAGGGCGAAAAAGACAGAGGTAGAGATAGAGAGAAATTTGTTGGGACGCAAGAACGCGTGGTATTTTTGCACAGACGTTGCGCAACGAACGCGGTTAATAACCGAGCGAGACCGGCTCGTGAATATCCGGCCGACGTTTTTGTTTTCGTCGCAAAATTACACGGGGCGGTGTGCCTCGCGAGTGGAGCATTTTGCACGCGCCATTACGATCCACGGGGACCCCTCGTACGGAACAACACGATTTTATACATCCTCTCTACTTAGAGATCCTTCAACGTAGGGTAGTAACTGTTCTTTCATCCGAGACGTACAATCGGGAAAAATTTTATTAGATGCAAGATAAAACGCGGTAAGGTTTTCGTTGTTCGAATTCGTTGCGCGATTAAACTCCACCGTCGGATGGCATCCGTGTTTTCTGTGTGTATCACCGTGGGAATTTATTTATCGTCCGTATATATATACACACAGAGTCTAAGGAGGGTTAACAATATCCGAGGCCGTGAATATTCCATTATTACATCTGTACTCGGAAGACCCGGGGAGTTTTACGGAACAAGTTTCAAGCGTTTCTCGCGGCGGAACACAGTGGCGGCGGGAGTTTTCTCAGCAGTAAAACTTTTACGATTCTCGCGTTCCTCCATTCGTCCTGTACTTCCATCCCCTTCTCTCTCCTCCTCCTCCTCTTATTTCTTCTCCGCTACGTCGAAAATATTACATCGTATATTTGGCATGCTGATTTCGGGCTGGTGCTCTTAACTCCTTGGTCCGCTGACATTTACCTTCTCTCCGTCCTCGTTGCAGATATCAGTTGAAGAGACTTTGTTTAAAATTCATTTAGATAAACCTGTAGCAGCGATAGAATTTCTGCGCGTGTTTAATATGCAACGAGAATACTCGAGGTGGAGTGATAGAGGTGCGAGAGAAGTGTGTATAGTCGGTGGAAGAAATACAGCGAGCTGGGGAAATTTGTCAGGAAGTAAATTTGTTTCGAGTGTTCTGACAGGGAAATTGAGAGGAACGTAAGAGAGTAATAACCTGAATCCTCGGTTAGGACTGTGTAATGTATAGTCGGTGGAAGAAATATTGCGAGTTGATGAAATTTGTCAGGAGTCGAAGTAAATTTGTTTCGAGTGTTCTGACAAGGGAATCGAGAGAATTATGAGAAGATAAGGATTTGAACTCTTAGTCAGGGCTGTATAAATTGTAGTCGGTGCAAGAAATATAGCGAGTACGTGAAATCTGTCGAGAAGATAAGGTCCCGAATCCTCAGTAAGGGCTGTATAGTGTATAGCTAGTGGAAGAAATATAGCGAATTCGTAAAATCGGTCAGAAATTAAAATATTCATATTTCGAGTGTTCTAACAGCTGTTGCCGTTGTTTACTTCATTCTGTATCATTTCCACGTTCTTAAACCCTTTGAGAACGAAGAACTACGTATGTTGAGATACTGATTAGTTGGAAATATATGTACAACTAGCTCACTGTTACAATCTGTTTTTTTTTCGGGTAAATCCGAATTCGGGCAAAGCCAACTATTTTTATTGCTTAAAAGTATTAAGTTATTGATTGCGTTCATACTGTTTTGTGAACGTTGATCAAATAGCTTTACGACACGTCAGACGCGGAAAGAAACTTTCAGTTGTCATTCCTTTATTGTACCAACCGTAAAACAGAATATGTTGCTTTAGTGTACGATCTTGCTGTATTTATTCCACCAACTATACCACGCTTCGAAGTGATCTCCAGGAGATAGAGAGAAGATTGGGTAAGAAAAATTAGCGAATGAAATTCCGTAAAGCTATATCGGAGGTTTGAATTTTAGAGATTAAATCGCGACCAAGTGGAATAACATTAACTTTAGCTGTATAGTTACTATTGGAAATGGGTTATGAAAAAGAAATAGTCTTTTATTCTTGTGATATGCTATTTATTGACGGACTCAGAGGAAACGTCTTTACGCTATTGAATGTTCTAAAGGACTGTGTCTGGGCACCCGAAAAGAAAGTTGGGGTCCCCTTATACCTAGGAACTGTTTACTTTATGGTATCGCATTGTGCAGTGCGTGACTCGAAGAGAAAAAGAAAGTTGGGGTCCCCTTATACCTAGGAACTGTTTACTTTATGGTATCGCATTGTGCAGTACGTGACTCGAAGACGGACACCAGACAGATCTGGTGGAAGACTTAGTGCCTTTGTTTAAAATAACGCGGAGACATTTTTTCATCTTAAATTACACCTGTCCAGTCTCTATCACGTTAATCACCAAACGCTACAACCCTTTCACACATCTCACATATGCACTTGGACCATTTCGTTCGGTCCTTCTCAAAGACAATTCTCACGACACCGAGTCTCCCCGTTGCTTCTTTGCCAACAGGTTCTACTGGATGGCGTTGACGTATCGAAACTGAACGTTCAATGGCTTCGTTCTCACATAGGCGTGGTCGGTCAGGAGCCGGTGCTCTTTGACACGACGATACGAGAAAATATCCGGTACGGAAATGACAGCGTTACCGAGGAGGAGATGATCAAAGCCGCGAAGGAAGCGAATGCTCACGAATTCATCAGCAAACAGCCCGAGGTGAGTGGCTCTGAACCTTTTCTACCTTTCCGTCGACGTTCTCCACCCGAGTGGAATTTCAGTCCAGTATTTCGTCGCGACAGAACGTATCCTGATTGATTCGGTCACTTTTCCATCGTCGCACGATCTCGTCGCGAAATTTCCCTCCTTTTTCTACCTCGACGAACCTCGGATATCTTGATTATATCCGGCGTATAAAGGCCAGCTTTAATTAAAATCTTACCTTTGAACCGTCGATTAAATTAGATATCAGCGTCGAATCGTACACAAATCCACTTGAACTGGCCTCGGTTTCGCGGATTATACCCATAAATTTCATTAAAAAGGATTTTCTTTGCGAGCCGTAGGACTTTTTTGTCCACAAAACGGTACCGCTTTCGAGGCTGACAATCTTGCATTGACAAATTTTAGTATCGGGGCCTCCATACTTAAATAGGAAACCTCGAAGGGAGAATAGAGGAGTGGTTGGCGTAGCGCGCAAAGCCTTGGCTTGCTAAGCGAGGGTCCCGGGTTCGATTCTCGTGTGGTCCCTCAAAATTTTTCCGTCGTTGGTTCCTACAAATGGTTGGAGGCTCGTCCGGGATGGAGGCATCTAACGGCTGCACGAAGCCAGGCGCTGTGAGATGAAAAATGTGAGAGGGTGCACGTCTCCTAAAGGAGTTGAGAAAACAGAGTCTCGGCTGAGAGTGCCACTGTGTGGGGGAGTTGTACCCGAAAGTGTTGAGTTTGTCGAGGTGTTGAACTCTCTTAGGATATTCGAGGGCGAATGTCAGTTCAGGATGGCCGAGTGTAGTATCGGTGCCTCCATACCCACAAAAATAGGAAACCTCGAAGGGAGAATAGAGAAGGAGTGGTTGGCGTAGCGCGCAAAGCCTTGGCTTGCTAAGCCGAAGGTCCCGGGTTCGATTCTCGTTTGGTCCCTCAAAGTTTTTCCTCGGTTCCTACAAAATTCTGTTCCCCAAAAGCGGCTCATAAAAACCTATAGTCATCCCCTTCTCCTAAGAAACGCGCTGAGGGCGCAAGGAGAGGGTCGTCGCCCAACAATTTAAGCCCGTTGATTCACGATTTTTAACACCTTCTGTCGACCAATCGGCGTGTCTAACCGTCCACGACTATTGAGGTTTTCAATTGTAGATCGCAATTTTCGGCAAAATAGATCTTTATTTAGAAAATACGAAATATACTTCTTCACTCCACGCGACGCGCCGGGAAATCGGGATCGGGCATCGTTGGCGTCCAAAAATCCTCCTAGTGCCGTCCATGATTATGCAAAGAGTCAATATATGGCACCAGGAAGAATCATACTCGTCAACAACGACTCCAGTCGGAAAAGCGATAAAACAGCGAGTTCACCCTCGCATCGCAACATTCACAAATTTACTATTCGAGTAGCGACAGTCATATTCAGCGAGCATACATTCGTTCATTCTGTTCAAGCGTGAACAATAGGTTATTTTTCCGACTAGACTTTATGCCAACCTAGTTTATCAGTGCTAGTCAATGGCCCAGTTACGAGGTGTTTCATTTACAACTCACCTCTCACTCGTCGACTAACAAAATAAGAGGATTCTTAAACAGCCGAATTGCCGAACGAGACACATTCATACTCTATCATTCGAGTGCCAACGTATCAAAAGTGAAAATAAAAGCAGTATCCACAGTTTACATTCCTTTTATCGTCATAACCTGGAACAGGCTTCTCCGACACGAGCCAACCGACGACTAAGTTCGAAATTCGGTGTTATAAAAAATCCTCGAGATCAAACATGAAAGGTGTCGATCGAACGGTAACTATCGTTCCTCGATGAATTCGATGGTTGGTAACAAACTGGCCGTGAGAACCGGATACAGGTAGTTGGGAACGTGTTAACAGTAGCCTCAGGTGTGCGAGCGAGGAGATCCGCGTGAACACGCGTGCAAACAGCCGTTAAACCGGTTCGCGAGCAAATAACACTATCCCCTAGATTACGGCTGCGTCAACGATTAGGCGTTTATTAGGGAATTATCGGTAGGTGAATTCGGTGCTCGCGATGGTTTCATCCGTGGTCCCAGCGGGTACGCCATTGCGTGTTCACCCTTTATCCGGTGTAGCAAGCGACGCGTTTAGGACCGCAACCATCCGCGGAAACAAGTGGACCAGACATTTTCCAGTTTATGGAGAACGTGGTTTATTTTACGGAACGGTGCGCTACAATCGTGAAATTTTATCCACGGTATATGTGTCCTCCGTTCACCTTCTACAACCTCTCTCTACCTGTCCACGCAAGGAACAAACGTCTGGTTGTTACACCAGAATTATCTGTAGAATTGATTTCGGCTAACATCGTTTAACCTTTTCAGTGCTATGGACGTATATATGCGTCCGTCCATTTTTCCGATCTTTAGTGTAGTTACGATTATTTATTTTTTATTTATTTATTTATTCATTCAAACGTGCAGAAAAATGAGTCCAATGTGACAACGCAGTTAATTGCTATTTATAAGTTCCTTTAAAGTTTGCCTGCAACTGTCCGCAGTGCCAAAGAGCAAACGAAGCCTGTCGGTGAGCTTGTTTGCATACGTACAGATCCTTGTGATGATTGAATCTTGCGTCCGTTGTGAAGGAATCCAGTTTAAATACAGGACACTTGCGTAAAGTTGATTAAAGCGAGTAGAGTATTATTTTTATATGAGATGGATACATGTGTTCCTTGGCTACCTATGAAGAGTACACGCGTGTTGTTTAATTTGGTGTAAACGAATTGCATTAATAACTTATTGTTAGTTGCGCCTTGTGCACTCGATCAACAGAGTTCACACTTGCAAAAAAGTATTCCGTCCATACGGAGAGCTTCGACAGGGAGTATTCAGCACTCAAAGTAACAATGTTGATCGTTAACGTAAGATTTGATCGTGAAGCGTGAGGAATAGCCAGAGGACACGATCGTTAAACCGGCTCGTTACACGGCCGCGCTGCGCGCAAAGTGCTATTCCTCGTAAATTTATTAAATCTGGACGCGGCGCATATGCACAGCGTAGACGCGTCACGTCTGTTGCCCCTTCGTTAATTAAATAATCGTTATTTCAAACCGCGCACAGACCTCGATGGCCTCTTTCCCGAGCGCGCGTGCACGCTAATCGAACCGGCAAATGGCGCGCGCGTACGTACGCTGCGATAATTATCAGCGAATACGAGCTTGGTTAAAATCATTCTCCTCGAATATCTCTGCTAATTTCCTTTTCTTCGGATATTTTCCCCGTTTGAATGTAATTTTCGATCGATGCGCGAACCGTGAAAATTCGCGAAGAGCAAAAAGGTGGTATTTCGAGGAAATTTTGTTGGTTAACACTAGGTTTACGGACATTTCTTATATAGGGTAATTTCGGGAGAGACGGACCAGGCAAGTATTTCCCGCATTATCCGCCAGATACGGAAGAAAAAACACTGATAGTCGCTTTCCGTAAAACAAATGTAAAACAAAAGAATACCGACGCGTTCCACATTTGGCGGATAATGTAGGAAATACTTGCCTGGTCCGTCTCTCCCGGAATTACCCTACCTATCTCTACGGACACGCGTGAATGAAACCGCATATTTTCTTTAGAAAGCAACTTATTTTATTTAAAAATATATTGTAGCATCGGGGCCTCCGTATCCGAAAAATAGGAAACCGATACGGGAGAATAGAGAGGGAGTGGTTGGTGTAGCGCGCAAAGCGTCGGCTTGCTAAGCCGAAGGTCCCGGGTTCGATTCCCGTTGGGTCCCTCAATATTTTTCCGTCGTTGGTTCCTACAAATGGTTGGGGGCTCGTCCGGGATGGAGGCATCTACGGCTGCACGAAGCCCCAGGCGCTGTGAGATGAAAACATGTGAGAGGGTGGTGCACGTCTCCCAAAAAAGTTGAGAAACAGAGTTTCGGCTGAGAGAGTGGCCACTGTGTGGGGGAGTGTACCCGAAAGTGTTGAGTTGAGTTGTGTTGCACTGAGGACATTCGAGGGTGAATGTCAGTTCAGGATGGCCGAGTGTAGTATCGGGGCCTCCATACCCAAAAGATAGGAAACCTCGAAGAGAGAATAGAGAGGGAGTGGTTGGCGTAGCGCGCAAAGCCTCGGCTTGCTAAGCCGCAGGTCCCGGGTTCGATTCCCGTTTGGGTCCCTCAATATTTTTCCCTAGGTTCCTACAATATTATACACTATTAACTAACAAATGAATGATAATTCGAACAAAATATGTTTATATAAAATTTACAATAAGCGTTAAGTGATAGGAGAGAAATGTAAACGGTTTCTGTAGTTTTCCTAGTGAAATTCGAAATGCGTGAAAATCACGCGTCCCGTAAATCTAGTGTTAAGTAGGATGAATGTGGTGATGAATTGTGGACGTTCATTTTTAGGCGTACGATAGTCCCGTAGGAGAGAGAGGTTCGCAAATGTCCGGTGGACAGAAGCAGAGGATCGCTATTGCCCGAGCATTGGTCAGACGACCGGCTATACTTTTACTGGACGAAGCTACTTCCGCTTTGGACTTGCACAGCGAGGCAACGGTGCAGAGAGCTTTGGACGCGGCTTCGAAAGGCAGAACGACCATCGTTGTTACTCATAGATTGTCGACAATTACCAATGCTGATAGGATAGTGTTTATAAAGGACGGACAGGTGGTTGAACAGGGCACGCATGAAGAACTGTTGGCGCTGGGAAAGCATTACTACGGATTGGTGTCTGCTGATGCCAGTGCTACCGCTAGAGGTAATTGCTTTGGGTTTTTTTTTAGGTGGTTTTGTGATTGTAACAGAGAGATTGGGATTTTTTTTTTTTTGAGATCTTTAAATGATCTTGAGAGAGAAAAGGATCGTCTCGGTTTAAAATTTAAGAAAAATTGAAGGGTGTTTCGTGCAATTTTCAGGGAAAGCGACAGATTTTTCTTTTTTTTGAGAAATTGGCCAAGAGCCTCCATTTCGATCCTAAATTTTGACCTTCAAACGACTTTAAGTAATATAAGAATTGACTTCGTTTAAAATAAAGAAAGTTCGAATAGTGTTTTATGCAATTTTCAGCGAAAGCGACAGATTCTTCTAGAAATTGGCGAAGAACTTTCATATTGAATCTAAATTTTAATCTTAAAATGACCTCGCGGGAGAAAATAATCGTTTTTCTTTAAAATAAAGAAAAATGGAATGGTGTTTCATCTAATTTCCAGCAAAAGCAACAGATGTTTCTTTTGAGAAATTGACGAAGGACCTTGGTTTTGATCCTAAATTCGGACATTCAAATGACTTTAAGAAATAAAAGAATTGATTTCCTTTAAAATAAAGAAAATTCGTACGGTGTTTTATGCAATTTCGAATGAAAGCGATAGATTTTTTTCTTCCGAGAAATTGGCCAAGAACCTTCATTTCGATCCTAAATTTTGACCTTCCAATGACCTGGAGAGAGAAAAGAACCGGTCTCAGGTTAAAGTAAAGAAAATTCGAACGGTGTTTTATCGAATTTGCAGCGAAAGCGACAGCGTCAGCAGCGAAAACGGTGACCGCAGCCATACCCAAGCAGAAACCACCTCTGAAGAGACAATTCTCCACTCTGTCGATGCACTCTCATCGCTTGTCACTTGCTGGCGCATCAGAGAGCTCGGCGAACCAGTTGGAAGAGCACGAGAAGCAGTACGACGCGCCAATGATGAGGATATTCGGGCTTAATAAACCGGAATGGCCTTTCAATTTGATCGGTACAATTGGCTTGTTTATTACTCGTTCAACTGTTCGTTACATCGTCTAATTTTACCAATGAAAAATATTAAATCAACGAATAAAATCCCTTAAGATCCTCGTATATCCACGGTATTCTTAAGATTTGAGACTTTTGTGGCCCGGTATCGCAGAGTTATTAATTTTGAGGCTTCCGTGTTGAAATCGTGTCCTAATGGGAGAAATATTCCGACTTTGGCAAGCATTGCAGTTCACTTTATTAGAGTTCGAACGACACTGTCGAATATTACTACGAATGTGTGTCACTATCATTCGAGCACTCATGAAGTGAGCTTTGCAGCTCACGTTTGCTTGCGAAACCTCGGAATACTTTTCCCATAAGGACATAGCTTGCACCCTGAAGCCTCCAGAATGACAACTACACAATGCCTAGCTCTGAAAGCCTCAAATCTTTCATTCCCTTGTCACTATCCTCACGGCTCAAACCTGAAAACCTCAAAATTTTAATTCTCTTGTCACTATTCTCACGACTCACACCCGAAAACCTCAAATCTTTGATTCTCTTGGTACTATCCTCACGCCTTACACCCAGAACCCCCGAAATTAACACCCTCGCAACATTCCCACTCCAGAAATCTGTTAGAAAAACCCACTTACCCAAAACCACGCATTTCTTCTTCAGGTTGTCTAGCAGCAGCAATGGTCGGTGCCTCGTTCCCAGCTTTCGCTGTCCTCTTCGGTGAGGTCTACTACGTGCTAGGTCTCCAAGACGACGACGAAGTACGCAACGAAACCGTCAACTTCTCCATCCTCTTCCTCATAGTCGGCGTGGTCACCGGTATAGGCACGTTCCTACAGATGTACATGTTCGGTCTTGCCGGTGTACGTATGACCACGAGGATCAGAAGAATGACGTTCGCGGCGATGTTGAAGCAAGAGATGGGCTGGTACGACGAAGATTCCAACAGCGTTGGCGCACTATGCGCCAGGTTATCCTCCGACGCCGGTGCTGTTCAAGGTGCAACTGGAACACGCGTAGGCGCTATCCTTCAAGCAATGTCAACGTTGGTCCTCGGAATAGGATTGTCGATGTACTACACCTGGAAGATGACGTTGGTCTCGGTCGTTTCGATACCGTTGGTGCTCGGCGCGGTGTTCTTCGAAGCTCGAGTGATGAGCGGTCAAGGTCTGCAGGAGAAGAAGAAGATGGAAGCAGCCACGAGAATAGCCACAGAGGCTATCTCGAACATCAGAACCGTGGCCAGTCTCGGTAAAGAGGAGGCATTTTTGGCACGCTATTGCGTCGAGCTGGATCACGTGGCCGAGGCGACGAGAATCAGAAACAGATTGAGAGGATTGGTGTTTTCGTGTGGACAGACCACGCCGTTCTTCGGTTACGCTTTGAGTCTCTACTACGGCGGCGCTTTGGTAGCTACAGAAGGTCTGAGTTATCAAGACGTGATTAAAGTGTCGGAGGCGTTGATCTTCGGTTCTTGGATGCTTGGACAGGCGCTTGCTTTCGCGCCTAACTTCAACACCGCCAAGATCTCAGCTGGAAGGATATTCCAACTGTTGGACAGGGTCCCGGAGATCGCCTCGCCGCCTGACTCGGAAGATAAAGATCTGGACTGGGTAAGTTTCGCGCGGAACAGCGACAGCTTGTGCCGTATAAATAGTATACACTTGTGGTTTTGTGGAACGAGAGGTGTGTTTTGTGGAACGTTCGATTAATTCGATCGTATCTACGCGTGTTATCTGAAAGAAAACGATATCGAGTCGGGAGCAAAGGGAGGTAAAGCTAGTCGTTTCTAACGTCTGCCTCTGCCTGTCTCTCTGCGCCGTTTCATTACGACTGTTTAGCAAACCATCGAATTTATGACGTACTGACAGCGATGCCTCGGGCAACGCGCGTTAATTACGCTCAAAACCGGGGAGGCTGTGTTTGATTAGGTCTACGAATATCCCTCTAGAATTTCGAATCGTTTAATGAAGCGATATACGAATGAACGACGTTCCGAACTTGATGCGGAAGCGTTTAGTGCCGCGAGTTATATGTTTCACCCGGCAAATAGCTCTGTAATCTAGAGGATTTCGCCGATCCTCTTACTCTTTATATTTCATTTTCTATTACAGTAGGACTCCGTGTAACGCGTTAAAGAAAATAGACAAATTCGCGCTTTCACGACCAAAAAGAAGAACGTACAAATTTTGGATTTAAAGAAAATTCTCGAAAACGCGATCAAAAGAAAAAGGACATAGAAATTTTGAATCTGAAGGAAATTCGCGAAAACGCGGTAAAAAGAAGAACATGCAAATTTTTAATCTAAAGAAAATTCTCGAAAACGCGATAAAAAAAGTAGACATAGAAACTTTGAATCTGAGGAAAATTCGCGCTTTCACGACCAAAAAGAAGAACGTACAAATTTTGGATTTAAAGAAAATTGTCGAAAACGCGATCAAAAGAAAAAGGACATAGAAATTTTGAATCTGAAGGAAATTCGAGAAAACGCGGTAAAGAAAGGTCGTACAAATTTTGCATCCGAAGAAAATTCGCGAAAACGCTATATCGATGAAGCTTAATTTGAATTTCTCGCGTTATAATTGCTCCTACTGTAAAATAGCATAGAAAGACATTTGAATGAAGGGTTTTTTTGTTTGATCAATCATCGCAGAAAGCAGATGGCCTGATACAATTCTCAAAAGTCGAGTTCCACTATCCGACGAGGTCAGAGATGCAGATTCTACAAGGTCTGAATTTAATCGTGAAGCCCGGTCAGATGGTCGCTTTAGTTGGCCAAAGTGGATGCGGAAAGTCTACTTGCATCCAGCTGTTGCAACGACTCTACGATCCGATTTCCGGTACCGTCACGATGGACAGACGCGACATCTCCTCGGTGTCGTTACGCAATCTGAGGTCTCAGCTGGGCGTCGTTGGCCAGGAGCCGGTGCTGTTCGACAGGACGATCGCGGAGAACATCGCCTACGGTGACAATTCTCGCCGGGTCACGATAGACGAGGTCATGGAGGCCGCCAAGAAGTCGAACATTCACAGCTTCGTCAGCTCTCTACCACTAGTGAGTTACATTATCCTCGAACGTTAATTAAACCACTCACAACTCAATGTGACTAACTTCACCGAATTGAATTTATTAACATTTCTTTATTTATTTACGAAGTACCGTGCATGTGCATTGATACTAAAATTAGGAGAATTTGAAAAAGTGGATTATTTTAACTTCTGAGTGGCTCAATTAGTGCTGTTAAACCTTTCGCTAATTGCACGTTTCAGTGTAAAAGTGCTGGCTGTTTATTGGATGAAATAGTTATTCAATAATGACATAAAAATGAAGACATGTACGATTGAAAATTAATTGTTTCGTGGTAGATAAATGTCTGCTGCACTTTGGTGTTGCCTGACTATTGGAAGGGCAATGACATAAAAATGAAGACATGTACGATTGAAAATTAATTGTTTCGTGGTAGATAAATGTCTGGTGCACTTTGGTGTTGCCTGACTATTGGAAGGGCCAAATTAGGGTTTCTCCCTCTGGGGGAAGCCGCTTTTGGAAGTACGGTTACAAGTAAAGGTCTTATTGAGGTCTTTAAAAGGATTGTGTAGCTTTAATATTAACATATTTTCCATTTGTAAATGAAATACCATTTTCTACTTGAAGTACCAAATCATATGCTACCATTCGTTTATTGTTGGAACCCTCAAACAGACTGCAACACACGGCCTTGAGTGCCGCAACATCAATCGATGCCGATTCTTGAGAGTTTAATTTACGACCTCGCTACATCGTGACCCCAACTATACGTCAAGCTTAAATCCTGTATAAATAATATTAAATCATAGGTTAAAGATCCCCATAAGTGAATATTTTATCATCACTTTGTAATAAAATTCTTTCCATATTTTCACCTGTAGTATGTTACACTCCTGCAATTTTTCGAGCAAACTAAAAACCACTCTGTATTCACGCTTTTCATAGCAAAACTGTTAAAAACTGTGTTCAGAAAGGAGAAAAAGAGCCGTTTAATCGTTGTTGCAGGGGTACGATACTAGGTTAGGATCTAAGGGTACGCAGCTGTCAGGAGGACAGAAGCAACGAATCGCGATCGCGCGAGCTTTGGTGAGAAATCCTCGAATCCTTCTGTTGGACGAGGCTACATCCGCCCTCGACACTCAGAGCGAGAAGGTGAGTCCAGTCTGCACAATTAATTCTCGAAAAACTTCCTCGTACACTTAGAGAAACCCTAAAAATTTTCCACGACCATCTCGTCGTTCGAATACTCCCGGTTAATTGCACGCGCGACACGTTTCATCTTCCCGCGAGATATTTCATTTTAATCGTCCAGACGAGAAAGAATCTCCGCGGAGGGTTGAAATAGTGTCGCGCAGAAAGACCGCGGGGCAAACGGGAGAAAATGGGTCGTGAAATCGGGCTGAAGCGAGACGCGGACGCGGCGCATTCAGTAATATAATACGCGGCGGTGGCGCTTTTTCGCGGCCAGAAGGACAGAAAGCTCGGGGGAAAAATGACCAGCCGTCCTCCTCTCGAGAGGCCGAAGAAGCGCGAGGAATTCTCACGAGGACAAAAGCCGCGCGTTTCAGCCTCGACACCGCATTGTGTCACCCTCGCGTCCAATTAACAGCGCCGTCAACCTACAGACACTCTTCTTCTTCCTTTTTTTTTCCTCCACACTGATTATTATCATCGCGTGGTATTTTCGAGGGAGAGAGAGAAAGAGTTGACGATGACGAAGGGGAACATCGTTCGATTCAATTGAAAACCTAGAAGAAATTTCGGTTCGTTATCGCTCTCGCGAGAGCTCGAACTGCTCCATCGACTTAATGGCCACGAGAAAAGACTCGGGTAGAATGCCGTTGCAATCCCCTTGATACCGATCCACTTTTCGTCTCAAACCGAACGATTCGTAAACTCGACTCTGGAGACGTGTCTCCTCTTCGGGAGGCAGCTACGTTCTTTTTGCTTTTAGCAGATTTGTGTGGGATCTGGGAACCGTTCTAGTTTAGACGGTTAATTTATGCGATCCTCGAGGTGATTGGTTGATTCTCCGCGTGTAAATTTCTTGTAGTAAATAGGCGGATGTAAGGTAGGAAGGAAATTTTCTTGAAACAGTGTACGAGAGTTAGGTGTGCAAATTACACGGTAACTTCTTGAGCGGCTTTCTTCGGCGAACATTTGGTATAGTCGGAGGAGGAAATATAGCGAGGTCGTGAAATTGATTTAAGCGTCGAAGTAAGCGTGTTTCGAGTGTTTTGACAAGGTTTTCCAGTTAGGGTAGCATAATGTACGGTAGAATCTCGACTGTTGCATTCTGCTAGCATGTAAGAGGGATTGTCACTTGAGGGGTTAGGACACGATAACAAGTGGGTAAAATATAAGATTTTTAAACGACAGTACAGCAAAAAATGAATAATCGATTAATATAAAATTTTCTATTTCAATTTACTATACTATGAACTATAAGAAAATGCTTGTAACATTTGCAAAATAATTTGTTCTTATGCCTTTCGTCATCTTCGCTCGGAATATCTTTTCTTCCAGATGGCCAACTGGTGTACAGGATTCCTACAAATCGAATTAACTACATATATCCAGAATCCGAAAATTGTCATAAACTGTGATATATTCTCTAGGCATTGACGATCCCACATTTCAATTTCTGTGAAAATGAACAAAATGCCGGATATTTTAAATTTATTTTCAACAATTACCAGCACAAGTTATAATTAGAATGGAAAGCAGAAATAAGACAATTCAATTCCATACATGGTCAACTACTGGTACCTTTACCTTAACTGCAGAGAAAAATTTTCGAAAAATCTCCGACGTACGGAAATATCGATCTAAATTATAAAATTCGACACGAACCTATAAGATGACCCGATATCTTCCGCTAAAGCATGTTTCCACTGGTACGGAAATATCGATCTAAATTATAAAATTCGACACGAACCTATAAGATGACCCGATATCTTCTGCTAAAGCATGTTTCCACTGTTCTGTTGTATTCCGCGGCTCGCGATTCCTTGCGTTGGCTTATTATATTCAATAGGTACGCGGTAGGAGAGCCTGACGGAAACTGGGGCGAAATAAGGGAGCTATTCTGCGCGTAGTACTATTCGACTTTATTAGACAGTTCGGTGACGTTCGGTGCGTGAAGACCACTAGACAAAAATCTGCTGTTTCGACGGAAAAGGTTTCTAGATATAGGTTCGGTAAGTACGAGAGTAGGGGTTGGTCTCAGAGATCAATGTAGGGAGAGGCGGTGAGGTCTAGGTTCAGCGATGAGTAAAGGATGATGTGGAGGTCTAGGTTTCGGGGTGACTAACGTTAGGATGATGCGGATTTGTTTACAGTTAAGGAAAGGAGGCAGGATGACTAAAAACTAATGAAAGATAGGAGAGAGGTATACGACAGTTCTTACCAGCAAATTGACAGAAACACAAGAAGAAAACACCAAGTACTAATTGCACCGAAATGTGTACTCGGGGTAAAATTTTAATTTCAAATCAATCAGGAAGCTGGGGCACGTTAACAACGTTCCAAATTTTCACCCGAAGAGTCTGATTACGTATAAGAAAGGTGCTCGGTAAACAAATTTCTCTTCCGTACGTTGGTCGCGTTTTTTCGCGGTACAACGTCGACTGGATGGCGAAGAAACAGTTGGGGGGGAAATATTTTGTAACGGTGAACGATGAATATTAGGACAGTCCGCTGGTGAATAACAGCGAAGGTTCGGCAATGTAAACTAGCGGTACTGTTGCGAGTGCGCCGCGGCTGATGAATATTAATGGATCCTGATGGATTTTAATGAACAATACGAGCAAAAAGCGCGCGAAGCGAAGCCGACGAAAAAAGATACGGCCACGGCCCGGGTTTCCTACTCTCACCCCCTTGTGTTACATTACGTAATGGAACGGACACACTTTATATGGTAATTTTTCGGGATTAAAATTCATATGTTTGCCGGCGCGGCGGTACGATCGAAACACGTTGTCTCGACTAATGTATCCCGCGTTACACGGAAATTATACCTACCTTCCCGCCATTCGTCCGCGGATCGTATAGTCGGTGGAATAAATGTGGTAAGATTGGAAAATTGGTCGAACGTCGAAGTAAGCACCTTTCGAGTGTCTTGATAATGAAATTGAGAGAAGTGTGAGAAGATAAGGACCTGAATCTTGAAATAAGGGCAGTATTGTGGGATTTTGTTGATTACTCTTTATGTACATTAAATTAAAAGTACCCCACGCGTCGCCGGTGCTGTTCACTAATATTATCTGTGGGAAGCAGGCATGATAAGAGAAACCGCGGACACGGATAATCGAATCTTCTCGATGTATTTACCGGCTGATCGGCACGTGCCGGCAGGCTTAAGTGTGTATGCGTGCATATGAGCGTTGACGTAACGCGACCGGGCAGGCGAAAACCCCAGCCCGGTCGTAACGAGTTTAGAAAAAATGTCTGGAACGTTCGGACTGGGCGAGGATAAAAGCCCGCGACACGCGAGGGCAATCGGAAATCAGTCGGAAATTAGTCTGTCAGTTTGGAGTGAGTCTGGAAGAAGTCTGCAAGAAGCTACGATACGCTACGATACGATACGATCAGATACGATAAGGCCTGTGTAGACGCTACGAACTAGTCTTACTCGTCGTGTTATCTCTGTAACTAGCGGAATAGACACTTTAATAAAACCCTGTTCCTACATATCTTTATCTGTGACAGAAAATGTAATTCGCTCTCTTAATATTTACGGTTCGATGCTTCTCGTTCGCTGGTCGAACACACACCACTTACACTCTTCTTCTTTTTCTCCAACACACGCGTCACACACACACCAACCCATGTTATTGTCTAAACATAAAAAAAATGCGCCTTTCATTCGTTCTTCCTTTCCAGGCCATTCACACCAACTCTCTCCGTTTCCCCATCTCTCCCCACATTCACCCTTTCATACCAAAAACCCCACAGTATTGTGTATTGGATGATTGCAACAGTTCGCGCCCGATTTTCGGGGGTGGCGGGAACCATAAATGTTTGTTTTAGCGTCGTGGAATATCGTCACATCGTTGTGTATAGTTGGGGCCACGATATAGCGAGGTCGTAAATTAAACTCTGAAGAATCGGCACCGATTGATGTTGCGGCACTCAAGGCCGTGTGTTGCAGTCTGTTTGAGGGTTCCAACAATAAACTTTGGTACTTCAAGTAGAAAATGGTATTTCATTTACAAATGGAAAATATGTTAATATTAAGCTACACAATCTTTTTGCACTTTCTATCTGTATATAACACGAGTAGATAAACTAAGATGCTAAAGACATCAATAAGACCTTTACCTGTAACCGTACTTCCAAAAGCGGCTTCCCCCAGAGGGAGAAACCCTAATTTGTCCTAGCTGCATGCAGTTTTCAGTAAATATATTAGAATCAGTTGACTTTCGCTGGATACAAGAATTCTTCGTACGGTCCTGACAATGGTTTCAAGTACTTATCTGCTCGTATCTCTGTCAATTTTCGGGTCCCGGCAGCTAAAACATGTTTACTTTGACGTCTGACCGATTTTACGACCTCGCTATATCGTGGCCCCGACTATACGTTTTATTTTTAAATCGGGAACGAACTTTTGCAGTCACCCAATACTTACTGCACCAGTAGGTATTCAGACACAGATAGAAACTTAAAACCTAGTGCGTTCTTCCGTTCGAATACACACTTGGGTCAAAAAAGACCCAAAGACCTCATGTGTAACAATTTTTATAAAATTAATGAAAAAATGTAAAATTATAAAATGAAAATGAAATTAATATGATGTAAACTTAATAACAACAGAATTTATTTAAAAAATTAGAAGGGGATGGGTCAAAAAAGACCCGAAGACCGCACTAGGGTTAAATATTAAGCTGTTAACTGGGTTCACCTCTCAAACAGAAATTGAGCAAAGATTATAACTATGTAGTTACTCAATTTTCATTTTTACAAATGCAAATATGATGTATTTTATGATCAATACAAGTTTAACAATACAAGTATGAATGAAGAATCCTTCGATAAATAAACTATCGTGTTCTAAATATTGACTAACCAATGGCTAGTTAAGTCTTCTCCAGTCAACAGGATAAAAGTGTTAATTCATATTTGTCTTGTCATAAATTCGAGTCCCTAAAACAGTGACTTTCGTTGCATCAATCCGTGGCGTCACACGATGCTCCACTTTACATCTGCTCCACCGACTATACATTTAAAACGCAGCTTCAATCAGAGCCACGCTGTTCCAAAAGAAAGACGGAAGATTCGAATCTACAAATTTTTCTCGATTTATCTCGCGAAACATGAAGGATAGACGAGAGCTTCTCGAACGATTATCTCAGTTCAACGCTTAATTTCCCGAGCCACAAAGATCGATTATTCTAGCCAACCGGTGGTGTGGCGGCCCACTCGAAATCGCCAACACAATCGAGGACAACGCAATAGTATTATCTATGGTAACAATCGGAAATACTCGGACCAGGCGAGAGCCTGGCTCGATTGTTGTTTCCACGGACGGGAAACGGCTCGTCCGTCGAACGAATTTCACGGCAATTATTGTTTCACGGCTGCTTACGAACCGACGTGTTTCGCTCTTTGTTCCGTTGCTCTCCAGGGGAAAATAGACCGGTTGCATACCATCGAGCGCGTTGTCTGTTTCACCAGGCCACGTGCTGCATTCTTTCGCGACATTCCAACGATTCAACTCGTTCGTTTGTGTAAAGGTTAAAAATCTCATCTCTATTACGCGTTCTACCTTTGAGAATTACTAATATAAATTACAAACATTCCGCGGTTAACGGACCGTCAAAGGAGGTATAATTCTCGAAAATCCCGAGTACATTTCTTCTGTGTTGAGTGAAAATGAAATACAGATACTTGATGTAAAATATAGAGGTCTGAAAGTCTCTTTACGAAGCCAGTTTCAAGAACTGGTGGGTCAGCTAGCAAGAAAAAATCGCGGCCAGCTAACGCGACACTAGTGTACAGTCGGTGGAAGAAATATAGCGGGGTCGTAAATTAAATAGCATTTAATATTTAAATCGTTAAATAGCGGCACCTATTGACGAAGTAACACCTAGGGTCGGTATATGGAATTTTCCATTTTCCATTGGGATTGAATCTTTCGACTGAGGATTGACATTTCGAGTCTTTACTTTTTCATATTCCTGAAGATTCGTTTGCTGATATGCTCTAACATATAAACTTTGAGGCCTGAGTGAGATTGAGGCCTGAGTAAGATCGAGGCCTGAGTGAGATCGAGGCCTGAGTGAGATCGAGGCCTGAGTAAGATCGAGGCCTGAGTGAGATTGGGCCTGAGTGAGTTTGAGGCCTGAGTGAGATTGGGCCTGAGTGAGTTTGAGGCTTGAGTGAGATTGAGCCTGAGTGAGGTCGAGCCTGAGTGAGTTTGAGGCCTGAGTGAGATTGAGGCTTGAGTGACATTGAGGCCTGAGTGAGATTGAGGCCTGAGTGGGATCGAGGCCTGAGTAAGATCGAGGCCTGAGTGAGATTGAGGCCTGAGTGAGATTGAGGCTTAAGTGACATTGAGGCCTGAGTGAGTTTGAGGCTTGAGTGAGATTGAGCTTGAGTGAGGTCGAAGGCCTGAGTGAGATTGAGGCCTGAGTGGGATCGAGGCCTGAGTAAGATCGAGGCCTGAGTGAGATTGGGCCTGAGTGAGTTTGAGGCTTGAGTGAGATTGAGCCTGAGTGAGTTAGAGGCTTGAGTGAGATTGAGCCTGAGTGAGTTTGAGGCTTGAGTGAGTTTGAGGCTTGAGTGAGTTTAGTGATCATCACTGGTCTCTATTTTATTCATAGACGTCGTAATTGCATTCGTATTCGAGCATATCTGACCTCGGAAGAACTAAGAAGCTCTAGGCCAGTGTCGGGTGGGCAAGGACACTCGCCGATGCCCGCGGGCAGAGCTGAGGGCAAAGTCGCGGGCTAGTGATCTCACATACATTAAAACAAATTGGGAGAAAAGACACTTGTGGTAGCATTATAGATCTTTCTTTACACCATTTATAGTTACTACATAACAAGGCGTGGCTTGTTGCCCGCCGATTAATTTGCGCCCGCGGAGCCCAAAACATTGCCCGTACGGGCAACGACTGAACACCACTGTTTTAAACCCCCCAAGAAAAACCAACAAAGATAACGAAAGGTAACTAAACAGCAACGTGTGATTTTTCTGCGTAGGTCGTGCAAGCGGCCTTGGACAAAGCCATGGAGGGCAGAACGTGTATCACCATAGCGCATCGTCTGGCCACTATAAGAAACGCCGACGTGATCTGCGTGCTGGAGAAGGGAACGGTCGCTGAGATGGGCACTCACGACGATCTAATATCGGCGGATGGTCTGTACGCTCATCTGCACGCTCTTCAAGAGGCCGCTATGGAGTAGAGTTGAGCGTCGCAATTACGTCACATCGACGCTCCTCGCGGGCTGAAAACGCTCGAACGATGGAACACGCTTCGTAGTTTTCGTTCAGAAGAGTATAGTCAGCCATGGCCTGCTAGCACGCAGAATAATACGCGAGGAACTCGCGTTCACCAAGGCGGGATACAACAAGAGTAGAACAGATATTATTATCCAAGAAACACACACACAGACACGTTGGTCGAAAGCTCGAGGAAACGCGCTTTCGTACATTTTTACCGGCAAATCTCCCTTTTGTCTTCTCAGCTGGCCCTAATTATTTTCTTTTTCTCTTTTCCATAGACTTCGTTTCGAACGATAGTTTTTCACGGTTTTATTTAACGCGCAATTTTTCTCGTTGCAGCCTCTTTTTACGCGCGGCTACCTTTCCACGATGATCGGCTAGCAATACCGTATCGAAGGAAGTTGAAGAAGAAAAGAGGATTTCTCTTCGTAGCGTACTTGAATATTATTAGCTATTCTCGTCGATATTTTCTTCGTTCGTACCCCATAGACGTCGAAATGCTCGCGTTTTCACGGTGCTCGCTCTTTTTCCCCTCAGTCGGTTTCTCCGCGTCTCTTTCGCCAAGCGAAGGAATCCAAGAGTGCAACCGGCGCGTGCTTCGAAACCGGAAACTGTCTCGCAGCGTCCACGCGTTCGATAAAAACCCCGATGAAACGCGCTATTTTTCATAACGTCGTTGTTATAACGAACGCTGCTCAGCCTCTGTACCTTCACCGGGAAAATTCTCCGCTTTTCGTCTTCGTTCCTTTCTCCCTTTGCAAAGCAGCCTTCGGAACACTCGCGAGATCGCGGTTAACGGAGTCGCGGTGCTTTTCAAGCCAATAACGCTCGCTATTTAGCCCTCTGCGATTTATTTTCACCGAAAAAAAATACTCCGCCTTTCGTCTCCGTTTCCTTCTTTCTCGCGGAGCCCTTACCTCGTTCTCGAAATCACGGTGCTTTTCGATTTTACAACGAACGCTAGTTAGCTCTCTGTGCCTTCTTTTCAAATTCACCGCGTTTCGTCCTCGTTCCCCCCCAATTTTTTCCTCCGCAAAGAGGCCTTCACAACGGAACACTCGCGAGATCGCGTTGCTTTTCGATCCGTTCGAGCGGAGAAGATTCACAAGGTGGGTCACGTAGCTGCGATCTGATTCGACGCAGAGTCGTGAACGATCCTCTGAACGAATCGTCGATGGTCAGGCATACGGAAAGAAGCTTGGAAGAAAACACGAATACACTTGGAATACCTGTTTCCTTAACCAAGGTATACATACACACATAAATACCGGTGAAACTGCAATCGTCGATGGTCAGGCATACGGAAAGAAGCTTGGAAGAAAACACGAATACACTTGGAATACCAAGGTATACATACACACATAAATACCGGTGAAACTGGATTACGAAATCTTTATACTTTCCATCGATCCTCGTAGCAGTGTGTTCCGATATTAAGGACGATCAACGAAACGAACAAGCGACAGGTGTTCTCAAAAGAGACACATAACCCGTGTGAAACCGAAACGACGACTCTATCACCGTCTCTATCTCACGCTAGGCGCAATTCAACCCCATGAAATATGTATGAACGTGTCTCTCGATACACGATCGTCCTCCCGTTCTCTTCCTCCCCCGAAAACACTCGCACCCACAGCCTTCCTCGCCCTCGTCTCTACTCTCTCACCCGGCTGGATTCTTCAACGGACTTATACAAACGAATTCATCCGCAGACAAGTGTCAATTGCGTTCTACAGGGCGGACGAATTTAAAGAAGCTCTCGTTCGCTCTTCGTGCCTTAGCAATTACACGTTGCTCCGTGTTCAAAGTAAGGGAAAGAAAAGAAAGTCGCAATAATAGAAGACGAGTGGCAGAGGCGGAGAGACAGAAGGGAGGAGGACGATCAGATCGTGAGGAATAATTCGAAAAAAAAAAAATCGAGAGAAACGGGGGAGATTCAGAGGTTCGTTGAAAGTTCGAAAGCGTAGACCGAGAGAGAGAAAGAATTGTTTGGAGAACGTGTTACACGTTGAAAGAAAGAGAGGGTTGGAGAAGATGGTAGGCGAGTGAGGCGTTTCCGGAAGTCGGGGACACGTCTATCCAGCGTGGCTGGATTTCTTCGGTCGAACTTCACGGCAGATACTTTCCCCCCCGGAACTTGTGCCTTCGTACTTCGTATACTTTAGCGATAAGATTCCCGGCCTCGAGGCTTATCATCTGAAACCGATCGCACGTGCGACACGTCACTCGCAGGGATACAATTTTTCATGGTATTACAATATTCTCTTCGATTTTCATATCTCGACGATTATCAAAGATTTTCAGAAATTTCCAAAATTACCTTCTCTCTCGACTTAACCTTCCTTCTCAAGCAGATATTCAGATGTACGCGTATATTTAGAACGATATACTCAGAATTTCCGAGGTGAACGTGTTCGTGTCGTGCGACCAATCGACTCAAAGAGCGTACTTACTTAATTATACCTCGGGAAGCGATCGAAAGGAGGCCTCGATCGATCGAAACGGTGCTTCACAACACTCGCTGTTCATCGACAATATTGTACGGTAGCCGTTAGAGAACGTGTTTTCGCGGAGAAGAACTCGCGAGTTCGGCGGAAAATGTTTATCGCCAACCGCCCCCTCGATGATAACAAACGGAAAACACTCTTCGACGATATCCTTTAAT